AGATTAGGCATTTATGCTATCAATGAATGCAAACGTAATGCAAAGCAAACCAATAGTAATGCTATTGACTATTGAGTGCAATGTAAGCACAGCTCTGTCTGCCTGTTCAGCACTACACATACACTGCACTCCCATTGGCTCACAGTTTGGCTGCCATTTCGCAACACTAATAAATGCATGCCATTCAGAGGCAGATTCACGTTTACTAACACTTAGTTTTGTGCCTTTTATAAGTAACAAACCCACCGTTATTAATGTACGCAAAAAGGCACATACTATTGGTTCACTTAACACATTCCTTTCCCACACACCAATCCATTGATAAGAATGTGTGAGCGATGGCAACGCCCTCTCTATGACAGCAATGCAATGAAATGAACAAAAGTGTCAAAACTTTTATCTCATTATTTATGCACAATGTGTAGCAGTGATACGCATGCGTGCTATGCATTGCTGTTTGACTGAGGTTACCCTCACGCGATATGTTCGCAAAACTTATGTAAAGGGGTCAAAATGGCGGTAAATATATTATTCGCGAATTATAATGTGTGTTTACTTACTTAGTTATTAATATAGTAAAAATATTAGTCAATTAATGAAACAATTTATTATATCATGTTTTAATCGTGTAGTTAATCATTGCATACATTCAGCCAATCATTGATTTCAATTGTGGTAATCGTGGCCCGAAATAGTGAGCCATTTGAAGGTATGCCACGTGATACTCATGCTTACGTAACAAACGTCACAAACACACAAAACCACGCTTTGCGCTGTTAGCTAAGCAAGTGATTAACAACAGAACAAAACGCAAAGGAAAGTAAGGTAACCCTAACAGTAGTGATTGTCATCACTTGTGTCCATCACTCTCGCCATGAAAGACGTGTCCATTGATTACGATTCCGAGGATCCGATGGACGCGAGCGACGACGAGTCGAGCAGCTGTTCGACGGAGGCTTTGGTCACATCGACCACTAGTTTGGGCTCTTTGGCCGCCATTACTCCCATCGGTGTCCTCAAGAAGTGCGTGAATAGAGGCAAATGGACTAAAGAGGAAGACGACAGGCTTAAGACATATGTGGAGACGTATGGAGAGCACGACTGGCAGACCATTGCCCACCACTTCAACGACAGGTCCGACATTCAATGTCAGCAGCGATGGGACAAAGTGGTGAACCCGCGGCTCATCAAAGGTCCCTGGACTAGACAGGTCTGTGCCACCCGTACCCCTCCCTTTGTTTCCATAATGACATGCATTTCCTATCGATTGCCAAACACCTGCCCTCCCCTTCCGCCCATCCCTTTCACTGTCACTGCTTTGGCGCCAAAAGCCATTTGATTAGTGAATGCATTGAAAGTATAGACATATTTTGATTGACTTATAACGTGAACAGGAGGACGAAAAAGTGGTGGAATTGGTGGACAAATACGGGCCCAAGAAGTGGACACTAATCGCCAAGCAATTGGAGGGACGTATAGGCAAACAGTGTCGGGAGCGGTGGCACAACCACTTGAACCCCGAGATCATAAAGACTGCGTGGACTGACTCGGAGGAGATGGCGATCATTAAGGCTCACCAGCAATGGGGCAATCAATGGGCGAAGATTGCGAAGCTGTTGCCCGGGAGGACCGACAACGCCATCAAAAACCACTGGAATTCGACGCTTAAGAGGAAGTCCGAGGCCATCATCAGGGGTTCGCCTACTGTTCCCCTCAAACGAAGGAATTGCAAACGCAATCGAAATGTTCACAAAACCGATGAGAATTCATATCAGGTATGAGTGAAGTGATGGTTAATGTGGTGACAGTCTTGTGATGAGTTGTGTGTCCGACAGATGCCTTCGAGCGCTTCGTTTGTTCGCCAATTCGAGACTTTCTGCGATACGGTGTCGAGTGCCCAGCGCTCGCTCATTGACGCCCAGCCCTACCCCTCGTCGTCGAGAGGGTCCCAACCGGTCACTACTTATACGGCCGCGGAGTACGACGAGAGCGATGACGGCCTCAACGACTTGAGTGATCTGTTGTCGCCTCTGAACGCCGATGTGATTGAACGCGAGTTAACCGAATTGGCGTCGAGTGCCGGCTCGGCCTTCAACGACCTCACGGTCTCTGAACTCGTGTCCGCTATCGACGGACCGCTGCTGAGCTCACCGCTGAAGGATTGTTACCCCAACCCAGACATGAATCCAAATGCCTCTCCGCTTTCATCGCTGTTTCATCCGTCGATTCTGAAGAGGAGGCAAACGATGGTTGACTACCAGACGCCCCCTTCCATGAAGAAGAAGAACCCCTTCAACGAGAGTCAGTTCGCGGCGGCCGTCACCTCCACTCCCTTTATGGCACAACACCAGTCGCCAGACTTCAAGTGTCTGCCATTCAGTCCAACACAGTTTCTGAACGCACCCAACGGTTCCGTCACTTCGACGCCCGTCAACAACAACAGCAACAGTCCCTCCAAAGTCCGGTTCACACAAAAGGCAGACCAATGGTTGCATATCTTTGACACACCGCCCACTTCCGACGTGAGTGGTATCACTTCCACCAACAAAGAGGTACTGTTTGTTTTAAGTCCAATGGTTTACTTACAAGTGAACTAATAATGGTATGTCTGTGCAGAATGTGTCTCCGTATCGCAAATCACGAAAGTGTTTGTCTTCGACGTGGAGTTCTGGAGGAGATATTGCTGTTCCAGGACTGACGGCACCACAAACCCCTGTGAGGTCTACGCAACCCATTGACACCACCTTTGATTTACTCGAAACACCGGTACTTTTATTGCATAGTCCTATGAGTTGAGTGACTAATGATTGAATTAATGGTATATAAAACAGAGTAAGTCTTTAGTGGACGAGTCGTCGTCACTACTGCTGTTCAGTCCGCCGGCAATACTCCGAGACTCGATGGGATCCGATGGCATGTGTTATAATAGCTCTGCAAACAGTTTGCAAACTTCTTGTCACACGAATAGCACCAGTATTTACAGCAGTAATGAAAGTCACGACGACAGCGGCTCAGCACTGGGTGTTCACCCGCTATCGTTCCCATTGAACAGAGCGTCCGAATCTATGTCCCAAAGAAAAGTTTGTTTCCCTTTTACTTACGCTTTATTTGCTTTTAGTTTTTTTTCATTTCATTTATGCAATAACCCATGATTCAAATGCTGAGCGTTTCGTTTGTTTTCAAAGTTTATTTAATTTCATTGCAATTCATTGTATGATTCAATCATTTAGTGCTCTAATTGTTGTGCCGCTCGTAGTGTTGGGGAAGAGTATATCTCAATTCAACCCAATTATCAATATATTTGCCGTAAGTTTTGGTTTAATTGCAGGTCATTATTGCAATCAATGTTTGGCACCGCTTTTGCACACATTTTGGTTTTTGTTTGGTTTTTGCATTGTTTTTCGTTTTGTTTTACTGTTTTTAAGTTTTGGCACAAAGTTTAGAGCACTGTTTGCTTTCTCACAAACGACTGCTTCAGTCATTGCTTTAGCACTAAACCAATAGTTAGATTACTCGAGATTAAACTCGTATTGATTGCAATTATAGGTGAGATTAACGAGAGGCACGCGCGCACTGGCGTACCGATCGCTAACGTCTTCATCAGACCCTACGTCAAAGCCGGCCTCCCATACGAGCAAAGCGCAGGCACTTCAGCAGCACTGGCAGTCAGTGGCGTGCGGCCGAACCCAACACCAAATCGAGCTCACAGAACAGGCCCGCATTTGGGTCCAGTCCAGCACCGACACCTCCACCACCACTATAGCCAACCGGCTCTACAAGCGCCACAACCTCCTCCACCACCCCATCCGCCACATCTCATACCCGTCCACTTTAATCCAATAGAAGGCATTTATCACTATAGTTACAACTGATGCCCCAAATTGTTTGGTTTATCACTTGTCTATAGTATTACGATTTGTAATGTATTTTAAGTATTTGTTTTTACGTAATATTTTGTTTTTTAGTTTTATTTTTTAATGAATATTTAAATTTGAAAATATGTTCACAAATAAGAGTGTGATTCCCCCCATGGGTTCGGACTTGTATTCTGTAGTAATAGTTTGCAAAATATGTTTTAAAATTTATAATTAATATATATTTAAAAAATATAACTTATGATTGCATTTATATTAGTCTCACATTTTTAATATATATTATTTCCCGGTTTTAATGAATTCTTTGATTGCACTTTGGATTTAATTTTAAACGTATTCTTATAACACAATCATTTAATTGGTTTTATTGATATTAAAACAAATTATATCCGAAACGACAGTATTTTATAAATATTGCAACGATTCCCTCGATTTTACTTAATATTAATTAATGTTTTATATGATTCTTATGTGATTCGTAATCATTGATTACAAAAAGTAATGTCTAGTTTATACGATAATAACTGTACAATTGGATCAAATGATAAATTGTCATTTAATTGTATCGACAATTGTTTGACTTATAAATTTATACTTAATGTCTTATACTCTATAACATAAATATTGACTCTTTATTGGAGGTCTGCTTAAAGATTTATATATTTAATCAAAAATATAAGAAATATATTCTAATTTTGGACAAAATAAACATTTTTGGTATCAAATGTTGATTTTTACTTCATTTTTCCATAAGAGTTGCCATAAAAAAAACTTTCCATAAGTAAGGCAATGAATTCTTGCAATCATTTTTTGAACTATAATTCTAGCATTTTATTGAAACTTTCCATTGCTTCACAAGTGGTCTAAAAGTGTGATCTTTAGATAAATTGGTAGTGAAGTCAAAGTACTGATGAGTTGATGAGGATATCTGACACGAGGGAACCACCACTACTGTACATGTCATGCGTGGGGTGTCTGCTAAAAGTATGATAAATATTTACTTTGAAAAGTTTGTCTGACATTCACGTTGACATTGAATTAGCAATTGATTGGTACCCTTGGAGTTAACGTGTATTCATGTCCACCAAAATGGCAATTAATCCTAAATCAGTGTATGTCTTGAATCTGGAGTTGGATTGCGACAAACAGTCGGTGCTCTACCGCTGCAACAATAGGGATAGTATTCAATTCATCTATGGATCCACTCTATTGGGTCGACACATATCCCTCTTCTCCAACTATAGCCAAGAAAGTGTTCGTTTTGATCGAAACAAATACCACGAACTCGTGTTTAGAGATGAGGTGACGACCATCACCTTCGAGACGTCCGGTTCCTTCCACTTCTACTACAAGGAATCCGCGGGTGATGTCATCTGCGGACAGTTCTATATAGTGGTCAGTCCTCAGCTCAAAGTGGGATCTGATGCGACCGCACGGCTCTTGGATTTGAATGCAATTCAATGCCAGACTGTGTTAACCAAAAGTTTGGGTCAGTTTGAGACCTGGAAGTCCAAACTCGAGGTCTGTTTGTGGTCTAAATGTATCAAAAGAATTGTTTATGAAGTTGTCATTCATTTGATAGGTGGCCTACAAGACGGGATATAATATGGTTCACTTCACGCCAATTCAAGAACTCGGAGGTTCTAACTCATCATATTGTCTGTCGGATCAGTTGAAATTGAATCCTATATTTAGTTCAAAGGATAAGGAATACACTTTTGATGATATCTCAGAGTTTACAGAATGGATGCGAAAGGAGTGGCAGATATTGTCGCTGACAGACATCGTGTTGAACCACACGGCCAATGAGTCGCCATGGCTTCAGACACATCCAGAGTGTGCCTACAATTGTCTCAATAGTCCGTGGCTGAGACCCGCGTATCTATTGGACAGAATCTTGTATCACCTCACGTGTGATATCATTGATAATAAATGGCAAACAAGAGGTCTGACTACTGAAGTGAATACTGAACACCATTTGAACTTAATTAAAACTATTCTTCATGAGGAATATTTGCCAATTGTAATGATATTTGAATTTGAGTTAAATTTGCGACTAAATCTAATTGTAGTTTATTTTGTAGTTGAACATTGCTGAACTCTATTTGCTTGACATCGATGCCTGTCTGAAACAATTCAAAGAATTGCTCGACAAATACTGTGAGACATCGAAACCACAGAAATTGAATGAAATCTCTCCGAAATTAGAGATAAATTTAGATCAGAAATACAGACGATTTAAATCAACAGTTGATTTAAATATCGCATTGAAAATAGTGTGCAATGAAATTGATTTTAATGGCAATAGTGATCAATGGACTGAGTCTTCCATTGAGTCCATTAGACATAAGTTGACAGTACTTAACGAGAATATGAGGAATGAAGTGAACCATCATTTGTCGGACGGCATTGAGAATGCAATCAAATCCATGAGATATGAACGAATCGACGAGTGGGGACCCAAACATAAATTGGTTTCCCTTAAACAACCGCTCGTTTGTCAATATTTTACACATAAGGGTCCGGACCTCGATTTGGTAGACGAACAGGCGTTGGTTTTCGATGACAATACCTCTCAGTTCTTAATGGCTCACAACGGATGGGTTATGAATGACGATCCGCTCAGAAATTTTGCCGAAAAGGGTCGGTATCTTATATGAAGTGATTATTAAATAGTGTACTAATTGTATGAATCTATGAAAGGAAGCAATATTTATATCCGTCGAGAGCTGATAGCTTGGGGCGATTCAGTGAAACTCCGATACGGGTCCACACCTAATGAATGCCCATATTTATGGTCACATATGGAGAAATACGTGATACAAATGGCCACAATATTCCACGGCATACGTCTGGACAACTGTCACTCAACACCCATACACGTGGCCTCACATCTCATAGACTGCGCCCGAAGAGTCAATCCAAACCTCTATTTAATCGCAGAACTCTTCACAGCTCACGAAAGTTTAGACAATATTTTTATCAATAAGTTGGGAATCAATTCACTCATAAGAGAGGGACACAGTCGCGTGCTGAGCGTGCTAAACCCGGCAGTCCACATATCCAAACCACCGCTTGGATAGCCGCGGAAAGGAGGGCCAATCGGTAAACAAAACTTCGATAAGAGACTTATCTCTAAACTGATAACGTTTGATTTGTATTTGAAAGAACGGTTGAGCAGAGGGTCGTCTGAATATCTGGTGCTTCCGTTACGTCCGACTGTAAGTCACGCCATATTCTTCGACATCACTCACGACAACGAATCACTGATTGTCCGCCACTCGGCCTACGATCCCTTACCATCTGCAGCACTCATCTCAATGACTTACTCAGCAATCGGTTCCAACAGAGGATTTGATGAGTTAGTCAACCATCACATCAATGTTGTGACAGAAACCCGAGAATATAAGGCTTGGGATCCAAATAATATATCGGAAGGCGTTTCCATGGATTCGGGAATTATTAAGTCGAAGCGAGAGCTAAATAAACTGCACGAATGGTTGGCAATCAATGGTTACAGCCATCAGTTTGTCGATCAGAGAGATACCGATACCGTAGCCGTGACTCGACATAACCCACAGACACACGAGTCAGTTGTATTGGTGGCGCGAACGGCCTTTCAAAAACCATCCGACCCTAAGGCCAGTCCATACCTGCCTCCTCTCAGAATCGATGGACTCATCGATAAAATACTGTTTGAAACGCGAATGACTGGCGAACCCGAAGATGACTTTATTAGAGACAAACTACTTATCAATGGTTTACAAGAGTTTAGATCTGAATTGAGAACTAATATCTCTGTAGACGAAAGTCAGATGATTAAAGCCAATAGAATCGGTGACTCTTATGAGATAATATTTTCTCAATTTCCTGCCTCTTCTGTCATTGCATTTAAAGTGTCGTTCAGTTCATACCATATGAATGCTGTCCAACAGACACATCAACTGATCAAACAGTTGGATGACAACAACAGTGACATCAATACAATTATTTCCAATTTGTCTTTAAATGACTTGAATTTTGTATTATTTCGCTGTAATCACGAAGAAGTGGATGACATAAATGGTGGCGCATATGGTCTGCCAAATATGGGACAAATGAATTACTGCGGAATCGCTAGTGTTATCTACTATTTAAGACATATCAGGACTATCCGTAGCCGTGACTCGACATAACCCACAGACACACGAGTCAGTTGTATTGGTGGCGCGAACGGCCTTTCAAAAACCATCCGACCCTAAGGCCAGTCCATACCTGCCTCCTCTCAGAATCGATGGACTTATCGATAAAATACTGTTTGAAACGCGAATGACTGGCGAACCCGAAGATGACTTTATTAAAGACAAACTACTTATCAATGGTTTACAAGAATTTAGATCTGAATTGAGAACTAATATCTCTGTAGACGAAAGTCAGATGATTAAAGCCAATAGAATCGGTGACTCTTATGAGATAATGTTTACTCAATTTCCTGCCTCTTCTGTCATTGCATTTAAAGTGTCGTTTAGTTCATACCATATGAATGCTGTCCAACAGACACATCAACTGATCAAACAGTTGGATGACAACAACAGTGACATCAATACAATTATTTCCAATTTGTCTTTAAATGACTTGAATTTTGTGTTATTTCGCTGTAATCACGAAGAAGTGGATGACATAAATGGTGGCGCATATGGTCTGCCAAATATGGGACAAATGAATTACTGCGGAATCGCTAGTGTTATCTACTATTTAAGACATATCAGGACTAATAATGATCTAGGTATGATTGTTATTACCGTTGATTTAATTAGAATTTTAGAATTTAAAACAATGTAATTAACAGGTCATCCCCTGTGCGGTAACCTAAGGGACGGCAATTGGCTCATGGATTACATCGGCAATAGACTGAAGAAAAATCCTAATACTATTGCTTTGTCTGAGTGGTTGTCCAAAGCGTTCACTACATTATCACAAATACCTCGATATCTAATTCCACGATATTTTGACTCAATTATAACGCCAATCTATACACTGATTTTGGATCAGATTTGGAACCAGTCGTCACCATTTGTTCGCAAAGGGCCCAGATTTGTACAGCTCTTGGCATTGGGAGGTCTGGCGCTTGTGGGCACAAATAAAACCGCTGTTTTACCCCCACTCTCACCTAAACTGGTGGATGAGTTGTTACTATTGCCAACATTGGCTGCAGGTCTGCCTCACTTCAGCTCAGGATATATGAAGTGTTGGGGTCGCGACACATTCATTGCACTCATTCCGGATGAAGATGACTGGCCGGCAATGTGACTTCGGTTTGTATATTATGAACCAAAGCGCCCTTGAGACTCTGTGCCTAACTAAGGTTTGGATAACCTGCCGCCCTCCTTACGAGCGATATTACGCAGAGACGCTGTCTGGTGGTGGTTGCAGGCCATCAAAGACTACTGTCTACTCGTACCAAATGGTGTGCAGCTGTTGTCAGAGCCGGTCCGCAGGTTATACCCGACTGATGACTCGCCAGCGCTTCTGAGCGCCGATAATATAGTAGAGGAACCGCTCTCTAAGACCATCCAAGAGGCTCTTCAAAGACATTTTGATGGCATTGATTTCATTGAGAAAAATGCCGGCAAACAGATCGATGAACACATGACTGAAGAAGGTTTGCATTCAATTGATTTTTTTGTATTAAATTTATGGTTTTTACGGAATAATGAAATGTTTTATAGGATTCCATATACGAGTGGGTGTTTCTCGTGACACCGGCTTTGTATTTGGTGGCAATGCCCACAACTGCGGCACATGGATGGACAAAATGGGCTCATCGGCTAAGGCTGGCAATAAGGGTCGGCCGAGTACTCCACGCGATGGATCGGCTGTTGAACTGATAGGTCTGAGCAAATCTGTGGCCACATTTTTGGCCGATTTGTCCGACAAAAATCAATACCCGTTTAAAGGGGTCAAAGAAAGTGATGGAAAAGAGTTTACGTTTAGGGAATGGGGGCTTAAAATTAAAGATAATTTTGAGAAATATTTCCATATTTCCGATGATTCTAATGATGAGCTCATTAACCGTCGGCTCATATA